GGACGACTTATTTGAAAGTCGTCTGGGCAGACGACTTACGAGGGCTAGAAACGTAAAAAAAATTCGCGTTTTTTGTTTGTTCACAAGGAGTTGGTTGTAATTTCAATAGCCTTTTAAGTTACTTTTGCATTTGATTCAAGTTTGGGTTTACTTTTGCATTTCAAATCAAGTTTTGAGTCATATTTGGCAATTTTCCCATGAAAGTATGTGATATTCAAAGAAAAAATTCCCTACACATTTGCCAAAAAAGAAATCTCTAAACGTATATACCAAATATTCACATTTGATATGTGATGATGAATCCTAAAATTCACTTAAAATCCGAGTTTACAAATAAAAGAACTTGATTGACAAGAAAACTCAAATTAGAAAAGACTGAATTAACTATAAAAATGTGTTTAATTGATGATACTGAAAATAAATACAAGGATACTTGATAACATGGAAATTATATCTAATTTGAATATAGTTTACTATGGAGGATTTGGATCCCTTGTTCTTAGTTCCTCCTTTATCTTTTATAGGTCTTTTCTGCTAATCGTAATGGTGACTTGATTTTCGGCATGGATGATATAGGTTTATGATGGTTTTTAATGTCTTTGACTTCTTTGTGGTTTGGTTTGACTTGCGGATCTTAGTATATTTGACTTTTATAGTACATGGTAGGCTATAACCTCTGTGACCCTTTGTTTTTTTCATGTGCGTTGATGATAATTAATCTTGGCCTTATACATTCAGGTAAGGATCTCGGACCGGATTTGGAGCGGGGTGAAATCCGACTCTAATATGCAACTTGATATGCAAGCATATCTCAAATCTCAATAGAAACAAGTTTGAAAGTTGGAAACAGTTTCAAAGATCAAACATTTGGTACGGAGAATGTTGCCAAGTTATCCCTCTTAGAATTAGTTATGATTTAAAACAGAAAGAAATCATACAAGATGTTGCCGAGACATTGAATCAACATATCGCTTATTATTTTAATGCCCTCCTCTCTCATTAGTTTGGGATTTGGTTAAGTGTTGAACCAGAATATAGTCCGTAGTCGTACAAATATGCTTTGAGTTACTGGGCCTAGTTTTCACAAAAAAAATCAGAAAAACCAAAAACATCTAAGACCTTTAAATTGGGCCATATCAGGCCCAAATCACAAGATATTTTGCATTTCCTTAATTCTATAAAAACGTAACCGAGACAGCTTTTGACCTTGTCCGAGAGATATAATAACCTCAAAATCCCCCAATCTCCTCTCCACTGTCTCGTCTCTTCTCGTCACGATGCAGCAGCCACCTCCATCCTCCAACGGTGCCGCCGCAGGTCCAGGAGATCAACAAGCTTACCACCACCACCAGCAATCCTGGATGATGCAGCCACATCATCAACAAGGCCAGCCTCCAGCAGGATGGAATCCACAGTCTGCGCCGTCTCCGGCTCAATACGGCGGTGGATCTCAAACTCCAGGATCAGGTGACGAGATCCGCTCCTTGTGGATCGGAGACTTACTGCCATGGATGGACGAAACCTACCTCATGAGCATCTTCTCTCTCACCGGCGAGGTAAAATCTAAAAATTTCATTTTTTTTTCCTCTTTTAAACAAATAAAGTTTTAACCTTTATGTCTACAACGTTCATTTATAAAAACCCTTTGAATAAAGTTTTAATCTTGATGTTTAGTTATAAAAACCCTTTGAATAAAGTTTTAATCTTTATGTTTATTTATAAAAACCATTTGAATAAAGTTTTAATCTTTATGTTCATTTATAAAAACCCTTTGAATAATCTTTATGTTTATTTTGTAAAAACCCTTTGAATAAAGTTTTAATCTTTATGTTTAGTTATAAAAACCCTTTGAATAAAGTCTTAATCTTTATGTCTCTATAGGTGCAACACGCGAAAGTGATCCGCAACAAGCAGAGTGGGTACACTGAAGGTTACGGCTTTATTGAGTGTGTGAGCCACGCTGCAGCCGAGAGGCTTCTGCAGACTTACAACGGTACTCAGATGCCTAACAGTGAGCAGATCTTTAAGTTGAATTGGGCTGGTGAGAGGCGCCAGTCTGAAGGGCCTGAGCATACTGTTTTCGTTGGTGATTTGGCGCCTGATGTTACTGACTACGTACTTACTGAGACTTTTAAGGCTGTGTATTCGTCTGTTAAGGGGGGTAAAGTTGTGATTGATAGGACTACTGGACGGTCTAAGGGGTATGGGTTTGTTAGGTTTGGGGATGAGAGTGAGCAGATAAGGGCTATGACTGAGATGAATGGTCAGTATTGCTCGTCTAGGCCTATGCGTACTGGTCCTGCTGCTAACAAGAAGCCTCTTACAATGCAACCACAAACAGGTATGTTTTGTTTTTAAGGAACCATGGGTTCTGTTACTTGTGAGTATGTTGAGTGGACGTCACGTTGTCTTTAACTGTCTATGTTAGTTGATTGTCTTTTCCATGGGGTTATTCCTGTTTTCTGATTGGTGAATCTTATTCTATTAGTTAACGCCTACCTCTCTACCTTCCGCTTATTGACTTTCCGCACTTTAATATAACAAAGAAACATCCTTAAAGCTTATAAGAAAAAACTCATGTTGTCTTAAAACAGGAGACCAAGGGGCTCTCTTTGGGGGGAGCCTGGAACTGACTTCAGCTGAAAATGATACCACCTTATTGGCTGGCCTCATTTAGGTCAGTTGGTTATGTTTTCAGAAGAAAGTTAAATTACCAGTACCTTTTATTTAGCTTTCCAGCTCTTTACTTATCAAGCATATAAGTCTTTTCTTTTACTTTTAATCCCTACTTTCAAGTTAATTATATTCCAGTTCCTTACATTTCGCTTCTTTTCAAGTTTGGAATCTTTAAAGAATTTTTGTACTCTTTTCAACATCTGTTGTTAGTTCATCTTCTTCAGTCGTTAGTGTTGTAGTTTTTTTCCTTCTTTCAGTTACTGTTCTTTTCTTAATCTATGCTATCAACTCTTTGTTGTTGTTAGTTTTTGTCTTTCGGGAAGTTGGTTACTCTGGTAAAGAGTGTCACACCTTGGAAGGAACTTAGCTTCTTATTTAGCTACTTGGGATATCCCCCAGAACTTCTCTTAATGATTTGTCTATCATTAATCTACTAACTTCAGAATCTCTTTGCCTAATCTTCAAGTTGTATCGTATATGCTGTTATCTGCTTACATTTTGGATCAGTTTGGCGACTGTTATCGTTTGTGCATGTTTGTTTTAGTGTATGTTTGCTTTAGAATATAGAAGTTTGAGTTCTCTCGTGTCTGTCATTTGCAGGTGCATATCAGAACCCTCAAGGAAATCCCGGAGAAAGTGATCCAGCTAACACAACAGTGAGTACTTTCTGTTGGTTTATTAGAAGTGTATTCTATGTAGGGTGTATTGTGTGAATTAAGCTATCATTTTTTTGCTTTACCAGATTTTTGTTGGAGCTTTAGATGAAAGTGTGACAGAAGATGTTTTGAAGTCAGTTTTTGGTCAATTTGGTGAACTTGTTCATGTGAAAATACCAGCAGGAAAACGTTGCGGATTTGTTCAATTTGCTAATAGGTAGTGTAACCTTTGAAGACGAACTTCTTGTTTATATTGAGAATGTGTGTTTTACATTTCTTTTTTTCTGTATGTGTGCTTTTCAGGGCATGTGCAGAGCAAGCACTCAACTCGTTGAATGGAACACAACTTGGCGGACAAAGCATTCGTCTTTCATGGGGTCGCAGTACTAACAACAAGCAGGTTTGTACCCGTTGCAACAAGTTTACTATGTTCTCTCTACTCTATGTCATCTAACAACTCCGATCTATGTCACAGACTCAACCTGATCAAGCCCAGTATGGTGGTGGTGGTGGATATTACGGGTATCCTCCTCAGGGATATGAAGGTTACGGATATGCACCTCCTCCTCAAGACCCTAACGCCTACTATGGTGGCTACCCTGGTGCCGGCTACGGAAACTACCAGCAGCCTGGTGGTGGTTACCAGCAGCAACAGCAGGTACTTTTGCCTGAAAATCTAGAGGTTTTAAACAAATTAAAAAAAGTATATCCATAATGCTCTAAAACTCCCTTTACGAGATACTGATTCTTCTCTTCATCCCTTTGTTTGTTCTTCCCTATTGCAGTGAAGCATAATGTGAATGTCGTGATGGAGCTGAAGTACTAGGAAGCTGTCTGTGATGAAACACCGTTTTGGAAATGGTGAATGAATCATTGAAGTGGATGTGTATCAGCTATTTCTCTCTACAACTTTTATTTTCTTTTGTTTGTTTTTCTCTCGTGTGACAATTGTTGAGTGCCCTCCTTGAAGTCGTATACAAGAGGCTTTAACCACAATGCTTTTTATCATTTGACTATCTTCTTTTTATTGTTTATGTACTGTTCTCTTGCATCCCCCTATGCCTGTTTCAATAGATTTTAAACATCAAAGTCCTGCTTAGAGGGATTAAATTATGTTTTTTTTCTATCGAAGGCCATGCTTCTCTGTTCAACAATGGTTACTCATAAACGTGCGTCAAAGAAAATACTGTGTATAGCATTTTCTGATGCTTGCCACTTCTCCACTGTGGGGAATTGTTGAACAGAGGAGCACAGTGGCTGCTTATCGAAAACTGGTGGTTAACCACTATTTTCTCAAACCAAACCAAACCAAACCAAGGGTGTTAACTATTATGATTTTTACATTACATAATAATGTGTCTACAAGTTATATGTGAGGTTAAGTTAAGCTAGAGATAATTGGTTAGTGGGAGTTGGTAGCCGTAGAGTGTCATGGCTTTTGAGTGTGTATGATGTGCAAGTCTATTGTACTAAAAACTTATTCAATCTTTGAGTTATGACTGAGTTCATAGAATCAAAATCAGAGCAACTCACATTCTTAAATGCAACAAATCCGATAATGAAAGTGGTCAAATACCAATGTTATATAATAATGAAGTGTGTTTGTAAACAACTCTTGTCTGAAAACGGTTCAGTGTAACCTGAAAGAACAAAATTTGCTCACAAATTTGCTTTATTTTGAACTAAGGAAACTTGACGAAGAAGTAACAAATAAAAACGCAAGAAAAAACTTTTGATCACTTGGCACTCAAGCTCCGGATGACGTAGGGGAGAATACCACCGTGGTCATAGTATGCCAACTCCACCTGTGCAACAGCAAACACAAAACTCTCATAAGAATATAACATTTAATTCAACAGATCGAGCTTTAAAAACTTGTTTGCTATGTACTTTACCTCTGTATCAAACCGCAGAGTGCAAACAAATGATTTGCCAGTGTCAGTGGTCACAGTAACATCCTGACCAGGCTTAATGTCACTGACTTTAGTAGGAAGGTGAACAGTGTAGCGTTCATGACCAGTAAGCCCAAGGGTGTCTGCATCCTCCCCAGCCTTGAAACACAGAGGAATGATTCCCATACCAGCCAAGTTGCTACGGTGGATTCTCTCAAAGCTCTTTGCAATCACAGCTTTCACTCCCTAAAGTTTTTTTTTGGTTCACCTCTCAGTTACCAACCATACATGTTTCACAAAATATAAACTAAAGTTTAATGTGAAGTAACTTACCAAAAGCAAAGGACCCTTTGCAGCCCAATCCCTAGAGCTACCACTTCCATATTCAGCACCAGCCAAGATAACCGTGTCCTGTCCAGCGTTCATGTATCTCTGAAAAAGAACGTATGATTTGAGTCAACAGTTAAAGAAAGATACTATGTGATGAATGATGATTCTACTTGTATACTTACACTTGCTGCATCAAAAACGCTAAGTTTTTCACCAGTAGGAACATGAACTGTCTTGGGACCAACTTCTCCTTTCAGAAGCTTGTTAACAAGACGAATGTTAGCAAAGGTACCACGAGCCATCACTTCATCGTTTCCTCTACGACTTCCATACGAGTTGAAGTCAGTTTGACTCACACCACGGTCCATCAAAAACTTTGCAGCTGGACTAGTCTTTTGAATGTTTCCTGCTGGAGAAATGTGATCCGTTGTTACACTGTCTCCAAAGTTGAGCAAGCAGTAGGCATCCTTCACTTCACGAGGACCAGGTGGATCTGCTGTCATGTTCTTGAAATAAGGAGGTTCGTGAATGTAAGTGGAGTTTGAATCCCATGAGTATAATGTTGAACCAGGTGCAGAGAGTTCATTCCACAAGGGGTTTCCGGATGTTATTGTCTCGTATGAGCTCTTGAACATGCTTGGTAACACGCTATATTGTACAACCTATGCAAAAAAGTACCACAAATGTTAGCAAGAAAAAATAATGTGAAGAGCTTATGTGAGTGTGTGACTAATGTATATACCTTAGCAACTTCCTCATTGGTTGGCCATATGTCTCTGAGGAACACATTTTTGCCATCCTTTCCGGTTCCTACTGGCTCAGTCTCAAAATCAATATCAACCTGTAACCACGCAGGAGACAAACACAAACATATGCATTTAGAAGTTAAACTACAGCTCCCAAAGTTCCATGACAGAAAGGTATAATAAAGTACAAACCGTTCCAGCAAGGGCGTAAGCAACAACTAGTGGTGGTGAAGCAAGATAGTTAGCTCTTGTTTGTGGATGAACACGTCCTTCAAAGTTTCTGTTACCAGATAGCACAGCAGCTGGAATGATATCTGTGACACAAACGAAGCAGAAAGTGAGCTTGGGATGCATGTTTGTGAAATATACTATAGTATGTTCCATATATACATGAGGATGTATGTTATTACCAGTTCCTTCTATGGCAGCTGCAACTTCTTTATCAAGATCACCAGAGTTCCCAATACATGTTGTGCAACCGTAGCCAACAATTTGGAATCCTTGCTTATTCAAGTCCTCTCGGAGCCCACTGCAGAGAAGGTAGAGAATTAGTATGAATCTTCCATGATCATTTAAGATATCCAGATGGAAACACACCTTCTGTCCAAATATTTCTCAACAACTCTAGACCCTGGAGCAAGACTTGTCTTGACCCATGGTTTAACCTGAATCAAAACGTCAAAAAACATTCAAAACCTGATCTATAAACCAGGCTATCTCAGAGTTAAAGTCAAGGAGCAAAGTGGGAACTCCACCTTTAGGCCAAGATCATAAGCCTTTTTGGCAACGAGTGCAGCACCAATCATAACACTAGGGTTTGATGTGTTTGTACAACTCGTGATCGCCGCAATAACAACACTTCCATGCTTGATCTCAGCAGGTTGTCCATCGTATGAGAACTTGACAACTTCTCCTTGTTTCTCTTTTGGCACTGCAAAACCCTTGAAGACAAAAGAAACAAATAGTCTTACAGATTAGACAAAACAAAAGTAACAAACGTCATTGTGCTTTTAATGATAAAACTACAAATTGCATCTCACCTTGAACCCAACAGGGTTGTCAAGGCATGCATGCCAGTCAGCCTTCATATCTTTCAAGGCCACTCGGTCATGAGGCCTGTTGAAATGAAAGATGGGTCAAAAACCTTAGGAAGGTAAGAGAGATGGGTTTAGAACTTTCTAATTATTAACAATATGGAGAATTATACCTTTTAGGACCAGAGATACATGGTTCAACATGTCCCAAATCCAATTGCAAATAAGATGTGTATGATCTTTCTTGTTGTGGCTGCATTATAGTCCATATGTTTGGGTTTAACAACCTTCTCTAAAGAAATAAAAACTAAGCTGATAGAAGGTTGTCCTTACCTCGTTGTAGTCAACAAACATATTGTTTGCACGCAAGTATGATTCTATCATTGACACCTAAAGCAAAACCAAGTTGTTAATCAAGTGAGTCACAGAAACTAGAGGAAACATGATAGACAGAGAGAAAGAATACTCACAGTTTCATCGCTTCTTCCTGTCAACTTCAGGTATTCTAGTGTTACATGGTCCACTGGGAAGAAACCCATTGTTGCACCATACTCAGGTGACATATTTGCAATTGTGGCTCTATCAGCCAGTGAAAGTTCACTCATCCCCTCACCTTCATATCAAAATAAGAAAGTTAATATATATATATATATACTAACTAACTAATTGTCCACAAAGAAAATCAAATTTCTCACCATAAAACTCAACAAACTTGCCGACAACACCATGCTTCCTTAATATTTGGGTCACAGTGAGAACTAAATCAGTAGCTGTGACACCTTCCTTCAACTTTCCATCCAGCTTAAATCCAACCACGCCTGGTAACACCATGCTCATTGGCTGACAATTTTTTGAAGTACCATATCAGTTGCAAATCTCACTTTACTATGTGCACAAGACAGCATAAGCCAAGAATGAACACTGGAGGTGTAGAGAAAGGAGATAAGCTCACCTGACCAAGCATTGCTGCCTCTGCTTCAATACCTCCAACACCCCACCCAGCGACTCCTAATCCATCAATCATGGTGGTGTGGGAATCGGTTCCAACAACGCTGTCAGGGTAGAGAAATCCACCAGAGTTGAAAACAACACGTCCAAGGTACTCCAAGTTTACCTGATGTCAAATAAAGACAATCTATCAGAACAGTGTCATTTGATTATATAATGAGATTCAAGAACCCCTTGAGAAATCTAGTAGTACACCAAACAGACAAAACAGTCTAATACTATAATCACACTACTGTCATGACAATTATACATTTCAAGATTAGTATGACAGTACTATCTTGTACCTGATGGACAATCCCAGACCCAGGAGGAACAACCAGCATGTTTTGGAAAGCTGTTGAACCCCACTTAAGGAAGGCAAATCTTTCTTTGTTCCTCTTGAATTCAAGCTCCATGTTTTTCTGTGCAGCATCCTCTGACCTTGCAAAGTCAACTTGGACTGAGTGATCAACGACAAGATCAACAGGAACCTATATATGAACAAGAAATTATATGAGAAGTGCCAGATTAAACATATTACAATCCCCAAAACGAAAAATTCACTAACCAAGGGGTTAATCTTGTTAGGATCACTACCAAGATTCTTCACTGCATCTCTCATAGAAGCAAGATCAACTAGAGCTGGTACTCCAGTAAAATCCTGGGCAAAGAAAAACAAGAGACTGTTTAGTACGTAAACAAGAAAAGATAAGTTAGCATAATAGATGTATTCTCTCCAAGTCACTACACACCTGTAAGATAACACGGGCTGGCTTGAAAGCGATTTCAACTTGCTTAGTAGATGTGTTCTCCCAGTCAAGGATTTTCTCGACGTCATCCTTTGTGACTTGATAGTTGTCACAGTTACGAATTGCTGATTCCAATAGTATTCTTACAGAGTATGGCAGCTTATCTGCAGTAACACCAAAAAAAGTGTTACCTTCACGAGAAATCCATTACAACGGAACATATAGTGGTAGTTGTCTGAGGAACCATACCAATTCTTGGATCATTTAAAGCTGTTAACGAGTAGTACTTTCCATACTCTCCACCACCAGGCTTAGGAAGACTTGTCAAGAGATCCTTGTATGTATGCTCTGAAGCTGTGTTTTATTTTCCAAATCAAAACTATTAGAAAAAATATATTTTCTCAAAAAAAAACTATTAGAAAAAAATTATGACCACAATTCAAAATTAAATGACTCATAGTTATACCATATGAGTTTTCTTGTCATGATCTAAATAAATCAAAACCTAGTACTGTACATCCATGTAAATCTTTGAGATAATAGAGAATTTGGTAAGAATTTTAATGAAATTTTGTTTTTAACAATTTGGAGGTAGTCTGTTTTATATATTAACTCTCAAGACAATAGGGGTCTAGGGCCAATGTTTCCCTTGGCTTTGTACAAAACATTCAGTCCATGAAACCCTGAGATTAGCTGATTTAACATATGATCAACATAAGATCTGATCTATGCAGAGATATGGTGATTCTTTCTTGTGACACAAGTTATTAAGACAAACCATTCCAAAAAGAGAAATAAGAAAGCAAACAAGACATACCCATTGAAGCGTATCTGCGCTCCAACCTCTCCATGACCGGAGCAGAAACCCTAACTTGAGCACGAAGGGAAGCTGGAGATCGCCAGCTCCCACCATGGCTCCACCTCGTAGAGGCAGAGCACACACGAAACGAGCGTAGAGCCGAGGAGAAGCTCCTAGATCGGCTCGTCTGATTAAGAGCCGACGCTGATGGAGCCGAAGCAGAGGCCGCCGCGGGAGCCGAGGTTAGGGAAGAGGAAGAAAGCCTCGTTAGAGAATTGGAGGCAGAACGAACGCCGGAAGTGGCGCGTCGATACATGGCTGAAGATCAAAACAGAACTCCTTCACAAGAGAAAGAAGGATCACTGAGAGACCCTAGAAAATGGGAAGTTTATAGGACAAGAAGAGGAAGATCGTGGAAGGAACGAATGAGAGAGAGAGAGAGACTTCGTCAAGGTTCTGAAAGAGCCTCTCTCAGAGACACACTCACTAAATAATACAAATGCCTTGGCCACGTCAAGGGTTTTCTTTATTAAACCGTTGGATGGACTTGTGACAGGAGAACGGACGGCTATGATTATGTTATGACCTAACCTATATAACTATGATTTGCAACCTGTACTTGTCAACGATTGTGTTTTGTTTTTTTTGAGATGTGCGATAAAATATTCGTTCTTGCAAATTATAGAAAGAGTTATTATTATTTCAAAAGCGTACAGCTAAAGACCAACGTGAGAACATTCGAATCATTGGCTTTTGGCCCAAAGCTAAGAGAATATTTCTTTTTTCTGCAATTTTTTTATAGAAAAAAGTTATATAATTGATGCATGAAGCTGGTCGAAACCAAGCCGGATTTCTCTTTTGAATAGTAAAATTAGGCATGGTGTTTGGATACCCGCTCGGGTTTAGGTTTGGCTCGAGTTTTTCAAATTTTCGGTTCTATTTTATAACACGTCATAGATCACATACTAATAAATTTGTAAGGATAGATCAGAATCGAATAAAACACAAGTTACACAACGATTTCGAGTTGATTTAGTATTACATCCTATAACTATTCGGATTTGGGTTAAATCGAGATCGGTTCAGATATATCTAAAGTAAAATCTAAAATTTAAAAACAAAACATTAGAAATATACACTCAGATATTTTTTCAAATATTTAGGGGATTCCTTTCTTTTTTTTTCGACATAAAAGACACAAATCGAAGAATGCTTTCTTTTCTTCGACACAAAAGACACAAATTGGGGAACTCTTTCATGTTCGATTAGTAACATCCTACAAAACCCATTCGAATTTCTTTTTTTTACATTTCAGATTAGATATGGATCAATTTTTCATTTCAAGTTTGGATTTTGGGTTAATGATTTTATGCACAGTCGTAAATAAAACTATAATGTTTATAACTTGTTTGTAACCAAATCTATATTTTCCGAGTTTCAGGTCGAATCAATATATATATTATTTTTAGAAAGTTATAACATATGGCATGAAAATAAAAACAATTGTTATTCAACATTATGATGTTCATTTGCCTAAAAAATTACTCGTTTAAATTATATTAAATAAAAGTCAACTGTTGACAAAAAGTCAACTAAAGTAGGGTGAATCATAGGCTCTTCCTAAGCTATTAAGGACAGAGACAATTCAAGTCTCAAACAAGATGCCAAGAGACAACCCCACCACACAAAACAAATCATAAGGAAATGGCTTCTCATTTTTGACTCTTCCAAGTCCCTCAATAACAACGTGAAAGCCCTGAAAGGCCACACATTTAGGGTCCTCACGAGCTCTCTGAATCATATGAAAGACTCAAACCAATAGACTACAACAAACAGATGATTGGATTAAAAAAATATGCTGGTTGTTATCTCAGTAAACATGAGATGTGTTTAGGATGGTGGCTGCCAGGTTCCGGGCTTAAATGATGATCCAGACCCTGATGGCTCTGTTGTCCTGCATTCATCAACATCACTATTAGTTTGGGATTCAAGCATACTACATATTATTAGTTCATGTTCATAGAGAACAGATTCTTATTAGTGGTTTGTTACAATCAGAAAGAACGTTTCATGTTTCATACCCGTGAGTCTGAATGTGAAGGTTAGGTTTTAATAGAGTAAGTAGGCTTACTTTGGTTCGGGTGGTTCTGCAGTAACTACCTCGGGCTCATGTTCCTTGACCCTGTAAAAGCAAATGTGGAGAACATTTGGTTATTGTGGTCTTGTGATCGATGCTGTGTTTGCTTTTCGGCGAAATTAAAGAAAATTTAAGACAATATATGATTCAGAGATATTATGAATCATGATGATTCACCTTGATTGATCTGCTTCTCCACTAGTTTCCTCTGGTTTACCACCTTAAAGCATTAACAAACAAACAAACAAAAATTCTTAATCGGTTAGTCTTACTTCCACGAGTTTATGGTAGAATACCAAGTTCTTTAAGTTTATACGAAAACTGGCAATCATAAAAACTTCAGCACAATTTGATCAAAAAAAAAAAAAAAAAAAACTTCAGCCCAAGAATCAACAAATGACATAAGTGAACAACTGTTATTTCTAAGCTATCAAAACCCTAATGGGAGTACAGCGAGCACTTTTATCATCAGAACTTCATCGTAAACAGACTTCTTATCACGCAGATGGATCTCATTCCAAAGACACTTAATCAAGAAAGATTTAGTTCTAATGCAACGAAGTGCAAGTGCATATTCCATAACAATCTTTGTCAAACTATACAATGATATTTCATAAAACAGGAGCATACGAAACCTAAGAAGTTAGTCTTTAGAACTCTTAGTCAGCTGGATGCAGAGAAATTTTAATACCTTTTGAATCCGGTGGAAACTGGCGAACAAAGCTTGACAAATCTGGACCCTCGACTTTACCTTTATACAAAGAGAGAGAACCAACATTAAGCGTCCACTTCATAAATATAAAAACAAATTGAGTAAATTATGTAGGAGCTAAATGCAAATTACCGATGCTCGTGATTTTGCGTCCAGTTCCTTCTCTGGCTTTCCTCTCCTCCTCTTCTTTCTTAAGACCTTGAATAGACATTGAAGGCAAAAGAGAAACAGTAAGCATTTGCTTAGAACTTGAAACGACTTCAATAGACAAAAGCACAAGAATTTATCGACTTGCTAAGACACAGGAACGCAAAAATAAAGTTCCACTTTGTTCATTCAGAACTTCTCTAGGTTCCAAAAAATAAAGTCTTTCAAAGTCAGAAACTGTTGACATAAAAGGATCAACAAAAATGAAAGTTGAGACATTTAAAAAGATATATAAGTTGTGCAAAATGTATAAGCAATCTGGAAAACACGTACGAGCAACATTAAGCTTCACACGCTCACGCCTTGCTTCAAGTTCAGCCATTTCCTGGAGCAATTTAAATAAGAACCAACATCAAAGGCAACATACTATATGCAAAATGAAATCTTGCATGTGAAGAACACAGTGCTGACCACAAATAAAGAGGAGATGATCTTAGTCTTACCTCTGGAGTTGGAGCTCTTTTCCGCTGCCCATTAAGCCAACATATCCATTCAACTACAAAGTTTGATCAAACAAAAAAAAAAGAAGTAATTTGTGACACAGATCCTATACATGTCGGAAATGAAATGAAACAAGGGTATAATTGTATACCAGGAACAGAGGTTGGGTCCTCTTCTCGTCTAAAGACAACCCAACGTTTCTCCTTCACTGGAAAGTAGAAAGAAGCAAAATCAGAACATGTAATGGACAAAGAAGATGTGTTGCGTATCGAAACATTATAATCCGTTGTGATTATCACACGATAACATATAGAGATGGACTGTTTCATGATTTAAAAGAGAAAGACAATCATTTTCAGAGCTTCTACAAGACCTAAAATTAAAAAAAAAAAAAAAAGAGGTTGAAAGGAACAATAACTCGCCCAGGCCGTCGATCTCCTCCATCCTGGAGAAGTACTTGTTACCAGTCTGGTCTGCTCCGATGAAACTCTTGCTTTTGAACAATCCGGCAACTCTCGCCCATAGCCTCGACATTCCTTAGCTTCTCCCGCCGCCGATTGATTTCTTCTTTTGTTTGATCCCAAAAACTCAACAAAACACGTCCTCAGTTGTTCCCCCGGTCGGTTCGGGTCGGGTCGGGTCCGCCTGGATCAAAAACTACAGGTTCGATCCGGATCCATCTCTGCCTTGTTTTATTGGGTTGTGAGTCGTTGAGATATAAAATTCGCACCAATTACAGATATTTAATGGGATGTTTGAAGAAATGATTTTTTCTTTACTGAAATTTTATTAGATGATAATTATATCCAAGTTATGAAGTTTAAAATCATACAAATTATTACATAAATAGCTACGTATATTATATACTGAAAATATAAAATATAAATTTCATCACGTATCACAAACGTGTTAATGAAAATACATAATCGTAACATATCATTTTTTTTTATTTTTCTTACAGTAATCACAACGATAAACATAAATGAAACACTTGAAAAATAATCTCTATTATTAAAAGAGAAGTACCCACTAAAAAATACCCCTAAGTTTTCCAACTTATTTACACTCATATGCCACTGAGAATTTAATTAAACTTCCTATTTAAATGCTTGTCTTTTTCAGTTATATTAATTAAACATCCTATTTAAATGCTTGTCTTTTTCAGTTATATTAATGAGTTATTTAATCAACCAAAAAAT